CCGTAAACTGCCGTTAACCTGAACTTCCACGAAAATCTACAGTGCCGCATATTGACGAAAATCCCTTTTTTCATGCAGTGTCAGTAGGAGCAAATTTCCCCCCTTTTGGGATCATATTAAATCAAAATTTACTTTGCATTATTTAATTAATCTAACTTAGTACAATAATTGGAAAGTTTTGTTAGATTTTTTTTTTTTTTTTAGGCTACAGTTCCATTTCATTGTATGCACTTAACCTTATGTTTGGTTTATTTTGATGTCTGGTACTTAGATCCAGTATTGAAGTCAGTAAAGAACACTACTTCATGTGTACAGGAACAATATATAGTATTTTTGATAAAAAGAATATCAGGAAATAATATTGGATATATGTGATTAAAAAAAACTTTCAAGGCATGTTTAGAGAAGCTTTATTTTTCCAAGGAAGTTGAAAAAAGCTTCTTGTAGAAGTCAACTTCAGCAGCTCCTCTAAATCCTCTGAATCTCAAACAGCCTTATGTCCGTGTCATACCAGATCGGAGGATCCACATTCCTACAAATAACAGGAAAGAGTGAAAAATAGCTTCATCAGCCAAACCAAAAATCATTGGTCAGTCTGTAAAGTCAGTTTACCGCAGGTAGATGACTCCCCACATATACGTCCGAAACCACATGGCAGTGCCAGCATTGGCCTGGTATTTCCTGATCAGGATGGGGTGGGGTACTGGGAGGAGTCCGACCAGCGTGCCATGCTGCAGGAACCTCAGGATCTCCGACTCGTCTGTTAAACCCCTATGGATAAAACAAAGTGAATGGTACACTGCAAAAAAGATCTAGAAATAAGGACATTTCTTAAATCAAGTGTATAAACCCTAAATTTTAGAAGTTAAATAAGATGATTTGCCAATTGAATGACTATTTTTACTCTTAAAATAAGATAATTAGATCATATGCGCATGTAATTAGACAATTCAGTTGCTTTTTCTTATTTTAAATGTAAATTGTCATGTTCCATTGGCAAAGTATCTCACTTAACTCCTCAATTCAAGACAAAATGCACTTATTTTAAGAAAAAAAATGACTTATTTAGATGTCAATTTTTTGCAGTATACAATATCCTTCTGCAGCTGTTAAATCCGGTTTTAGTTATGAAATTATATTGCTGCAAAAATTTGTAACACTAGCTTGTTTGGAATATTAACAGAAATTATAGCAAAATCCTATAAAGCAACAGCAATAACCATTAAATCCATCTGGGTTTTAATTCCTAAGTTTCTCCTACTTGTCTATGCAGATCTTCTCCACCTGTGGGACCAGCACTTGCAGCAGCCGCATGATGGTTTGCAAAGGAAGTCTAGTTTTCCATGACACCATCTGATAACAGGTAAAAGAAAAACAAGTCAGATGAGAGGAAAAAACAGGAAGCAGCAGAAAGACTGCTCAGACCCACCCAGTCTGAATTAGCTGTCCAGGCTGCAGCCGATGAGATGCTCGACATTCGACTTCTTGACGTCTGCGACTCTGTGAAGACCTGACCATGGGAGGAAACTGTGAGAAAGCAGAAAAGTGAAATGAAAGTGAATAGCAAGACATCGCCGTACCTCGTGGTCCCTCTCCGAGTTGGACTCTGTGTCGCTGGCTCCGTTGATGACGCTGCGGCGAGGTGCCGTTATCGGAGATCCCGAATGTGGCAAGGATACCATCGTTCCATCCTCGCTTACCTGAGCCTTCTCTGTTATCTTATCAATTCCTGAAAAACACAAAAAGATGTTACCACTTGTAATAAAGGAAATTATCTCCTCACATCAAAATGTCTTGTGTTTCTTATGTTTGCTTAAATAAGCACAACTGTGGCATTGGAGACAGTTTGACTTCTTTTCTCAAGGCATTTTTCATACTTTGAGTCATTCTGAAGTTCTCTGAAGTTGCAGTTTTTTGTCTGTTTAATTCATACATGATTTTACTTTGTCATTTTTTGCAAAATTTTAAATTTCACTGTGTATCTCACAAATGACTAGATTTATTTAATGAAATGTTAGATCTCCAAGCTACTAATGTTAATAATCTGCAATTTAGTTTTAATATTTAAAAAAGACAATTTTTATGTTTTTTTTTTTTGTTATTTTGGTCTATATTGATACTTCTCCCCGAAAGCTGCCTCCTTAATGTGGTGGGGTTGTTTGAGTGCCCGACTGATCGTAGGAGCTATGTTGTCCTGGGTATTATGCCCCTGGTAGGGTTTTTCATGGCAAAAAGGTCCTAGGTGACAGTTCAGACTAAACGCAGCTCAGAAGACCCTTATGGAGAGAGTCAAATCAAGGACGGTAACGTCAGTCAGTAAGGGGCAGTCCAGGCCCCACCCTGGAGCCAGGCCTGCGGTTGGGGCTTGCATGTGGGCGCCTGGTGGCCGGGCCTTTGTCCATGTAGCCCTCCCAGGCCCAGGCCAAATGGAAGACGTGGACCCACCCCACGTAGAGGGGTCCGTGCAGAGAGTCCGTAGGGGTTGGGTGCAGAGAGGACTGGGTGGCGGTCGAGGCGGTTATTTCCTGGTCCGCGCACGTAGCTTCTGGCTGTAGAGATGTGGAACATCACCTCACTGGGGGGGAAAGAACCTGAGCTTGTGCAGGAGGTTGAGAAGTACTGGCCAGATAAAATTGGGCTCACCTCCCTGTATAGCTTGGATTCCGGATCCCATCTCCTGTAGAAACGCTGGACTCTCCACTTCTCTGGCGTTGCCTGCGGGGAGATGTGGCGGGCAAGGGTGGCCTTGCTCATTGCCCTCCAGCTCAGTTGTCACGTGTTAGAATATACCACGTTGAACGAGAGGGTTGTGTCTCTACGCCTTCGGGTTGGGGATAGGTCTCACCCTACAGAACCAACTCTGGTGCAGAGTACCCGGCCTCCTTGGAGTCCCTGGGAGGGGTACTAGATGGTGCTCCAAATGAGGACTCTATTGTTCTGGGAACACCTGGTGGATTCCTCTCTTAGTGCTGTTGATTGACCCAGATGATGATGAGTCCAGTTCTTGTGTCAATATTTAAAAGGAAGGCAATGTTTCATTTTAGGCTTAATAAGGACGGGGAAGTACCGGTTACTATCTGTTCCAGCTGGTTTTTTGGGTACAAGAATGTGATTCTAAGACACTATTGCAGTCTGTGCCCATTGAGGAGTAATGTATGCAAAACTTCTAAAGGTTAAAGCTAAACTTGAACTGTAAAATATACAAAGGGTGGTTGTGAAGAAGTAATGCAGGGGCAGATCCAGGATTTTCAAAAGGGGGCTGCGCACCTAAGTGTAAGGTCAAGACAACGTGAAGCAACCCAGCCGGGGTTACTAATACCCCTAGTAGTAAGAGGGTATGGCAAGGGGTACATGATCTTTTTTTTTTTTTTTTTTAAGTAGAAAATAAAATAGGGCTATTCTGCCTTGTTAGGACCCAATTAAACAAGCTTTTATCAACCAAAATGTAAGTTCACCTTCAGCTGTGACACACATCAAAACCAAGCAGAAGAATAGACTGGATGTAGAGAACAGTCTGGGATCAGTTGTTTTTCACACTGAGCTATCAGGGCTCAGCAAAGCAGCTAAAACTAATGAAGTCAGTCAGACTATAATTTTTGTTCTACATTTTGTTCCCAATTCATCAAGTTTAAATGCATTTATAAGGAAGTTACTCAGAGGAGCTCCAGTTTTATAAAAACAGGTTTATTTTATAATCCTAACTAAGCAGACTAATGAAGGAGAGGCTTTCCAAATCTAGGTGAGGGAGCAGACAACTCATATTCAAGATTTTTGATGAAAGTCTCTGGGTCCTGAGCAAAAGCGGAATAATCCTCCCTTTTTCCTAGTGAAAAGGGCTGATCACTATAGGCACAACATCTCACAGCTCACAGATGTTGTGTGAGGATGTAAAAGATCCATGTGAATCTGAATATAAATGTACACCACACTTATCAGACTTTGTATATATGTATTATTCAGCTTCTAATTCCACAATAACTTCTTAAAGTCTATTTCATACATTCAGATCAAAATACATAGAAGTTCAGAAGGGATAAATACTTTAAATCCTCTACTTGCCTTTTCCTTCAAATCTTTTTATATTCTATAAATAATTTCAATTTGCATCTAAAATCCTAGGTTGGTTTATTGGTGCAACCATCCTTTGTGGCTAAAACTGACCTTCACTTGTACCTTTTTTTTTAATTATTAATGTTTTATTAACTTCCCCAATTTGTGATTTATTTTTACTAGGTTGTCAAAACTGCTTTAGATTGTATCTGTTTTAAGGAAGTCTGAGAAATGTCATCTTTCCCACCTGGAGTGGCCTCTAAGCTGGTTTTGAGTGTCCCGGGCTCGGCAGGTGCAGCGGGTCTGGAGCCCTCCATGGACTCGCCATCTGTGGAATTTAGACGAGAGTTCGCAGACTTTTTCTTCTTCAGCAAAACTTTCTGAATGGACGCCTCATCTGTCGGCAGATTAGCCAGCTGGTGGAAAACGTTCCTCTTTCGGATGATGGCATACACCAGGTTGGAGTTACCTGTGGGTACAGTTTCAGACCTTAGAAGCCTGTCCCAAAATACAGCTATGAAAGAAAAGGAGATCCTGTTGTTCTCACCATCAAACTGATACTGGATGATGTTATTGAAGACCTCCAGCAGGAAGAAAACTAAGTTGTGGTTCTGAGGTGCAGACAGGAGAAACCACGGTGTGGAGAAGGCCTCCAGCAGGTGGAGCAGCTTGTTGGCAGCCACCATGGACAGACTCTTCAAGTAGGGTGAAACTACAGAGGTGGGAAAATGTGTCTTGGACAATTGTCCACTAGGGGGCAGTATGTCTGCAATGATACTTACTGTTTACAATTATAGTGAGCAGGCAGTCGAACAGAGGATGGAGACGTTGGTGACCACAGGTGATTATTTTGTGAAAAATCTAAAATTGAGAATGTTATAAATATGACTTATGATACTCTTGAGAGCATATGATCTCTTAATTCACATCAAACTCAATGAGTTAAGATTTTTAATTAGAATCTAAAGGTTCATTTGATTTTCTTATGATTTCAGTGTGCAAGAAGATTTGATTTTTAAAGCTTTTATTTTCCTTTTTTAATCTTTGTGTTGCACAAGTTCTAAACATAAACTGTCTTTAATTTTAGTTAAATTCAGTAGATCTCACCACTACGAGCAGATCAGCATGGGTTCCTGTAAAGACAGGAATGTCCATGGGGACATGGACTGTGTACGGCTTATTTAGGCGAACACCAAAGTTTCTCTCTCCGCTCAGCAGCAGCAGGATGAACACACCGATGTGCATGAGACCGACTCGAGCTACAGGTGCACACAAACATGACGAGCTTTAAATGACAATTCACTTTACTTTTATGTCCGTGTCCTTGTCCCTAAGACGTTACAGAGAGTTACTCACACTGATCTGCTCTGGCATCATTCAGGTAGAACAGGATGGGAACCAGCATCTCTAAGACGTCACTGCTCTTCAGGACGAAGAACAGGAATTTCTGCAACACACCAACAGTTTTGAGAGTTTTTTTCAAACCAAATAATCTGGTAGTCAATACAATGGAAAGTGAAAAGACACAATAAAAAGGTGCAAGGTGCTTCAAACCTTGTTAAAATCACAAAACTTCCAGAAAAGGATCAGCAGCTCCTGGTGGAACTGGATCTTCTTGGTGGATCGAGGAAGGTATGTTTGGATTAGAGGGTTGTTGAGCAGCTGAGCCAAACCTCTGAGAACAAAACTCAAATCCTGATCAAAAACAAAAATAATATGCAAAAATTAACCACCGAGAAGAATCTTGTTTGCAGCAAACATTAAAGGATTTCTGTGGCTAACAGAGGATTTCTGTACATCACCTCCTCTCTGTGGATCCTGGAGAGGTAATTCACAAAGAGGTTGTCGGGTCCAGCTGGCTAAAGAAAGAAAGATTTGTACTGATAAACATCCAGCATATCAACCATTCTCCATTTGAATTTGCAGAAGCCTTAAACTTATTAATGGCAGACTTGCAGAAAAATGAATAAGCAGGAATTCTTAAAAGAATAAATAAAAGTTGCAGATCTCTGTATTTAAAATGAATTTGAGCTTTGGAAACATATTCTGAGGTAATTTAAAAATCGTGTCAAAACCCATATTGCTAACAAAATTTAGAAAAATGTGTGCTGCTATATCCTCTTTTTCTTTATTATTGACTGTGCTGATCATTTAATGCCCTTAGTCTGCTGGGCTGACAAACAACTCTAATCAATAGGGCCGCTGATATGGACTGCATAATCTCCCAAAGAAGCAACTGTAAAGTTAATTTCTGCTACTTTTTAACATTTGCTACTTTAACCATGCCTGGGCAGGTAGTTAATTAAAATTAGATTTAAATGCTGATATTTGATTTAGGAATACTTTTCTTGAACTTTTAATGTTTTAATTGTGTGATCTATTGTGTATTGAACTCTTTGAATGTGGTTCTGTGAAGGAGACTGTGCTGACAGTCCGCTATATTAGCTATATTATATTATTTCCTCCCCCTCTTTCTCTATTCATAATCAAATAGAAATAATTGCATAAAAGTCTTTAACCTGTTTCTTTTTCATTGTTTCCTAACAATTTTTTTTAATGAAAGTATTTTTTCTCTTTTAACAGTTGATTGAAAAAAAAAAAAAATTGCCCATAATACATCTGGTTCCTCGGATGGATTGGATGAGGAGGAATCCAGAGCTCGGAGGGCAGCCGTCATGGCGGACCCTGGCTCGTGCTCCAGTGTGACGATCAGGGTCTGCAGTGCTTGCTCCACCAACTGCCCCCTGTGGTCTGAGAACAGCAGATGATTGTACGGGATGCCATATCCCACAGGGTCATAAGAACAGACGACGTTCAACAGGGATGTGAAGAGCGGCAGGGCATGTCTGAAGCAATGATACAAAGAAAGAAGCCAGTGAAAGCTGGACGGGTTAAACAGAGAAGAACAGGAGAGATTAAAAGATTCTAACTAGATACAATTCAAGGAACAGGCCATGTTCAGCTTTAGTTTGAAACAACAAAGTAATCAGGGGTGGGCAGCTTCAACTCATGGCCTCCATATAATCAAGCCACTTTTGGTAGAATTAAAAATGTAAAGTTCATACAGACAACCAAGAAATATACAAGAATGGAAGGTTCTTGATGAAAATTGTCAGGTCTTCATGATTTTACATTATATGCATTTATAGCTGCACAACTATAGCTGCAAATATAATGCAGTACACAAAATAAAAAAATAAAAAAAACATCTGGATTTGGCTTTTCCATGCCAAACCTGTTTTCTGCAGAACAGAAGAAAGCAACCCAGGGATTCAGCGCTTGGTTCTCAGATGAAGGAGAAAGATACATGGCCTCAGAGAAGCAGGTGAGAAGCAGCTTCAGCAGCTCAGTCCTGGAAACGCACAATGAGTCGAACATAAGAAATGCAGCAGTCTAGCAGTTCTACAGTGGAAAGTAAATTATTCTAACTAAAATATAATAGCTAGTGTCAATAAAAAGAATTTAATACACAAAATGCAAAGTAGTTATGAGCAATTTAGTAGATAATGTAAAAAAGAATGCATTTATGTGATCTATTCTCTAATTTTTTTCATTTATTGTTATTTGGTCTCACCTGTCTATCAGTGTGGGTTTAAACTACCTTCCAATTGAAACTAGATAACCATAACCTGTTAAGAACAGCACCTGACATATAAAACACAGCTTCCGGCCTTACCTGTTCAGGTCATGGACGTAATTCAGGGGAGGCGACTGAGCGAAGCCTACCCCGGCCTCCCAGATGTACTCACAGCTGTCTAAAGATCGCATTTCTTCTGACCCATCCTAAGGCATAACAAGAGTTTTTAAACAACATTTACAATCGGAGATAAGAGGTTGATTAATTCCCTAATAAAATGTACAGCATTACTGTTTATTCCAAATCACATATATCAGAACTGATCACTCAGAGGAAATCAGTGATTGGTATTACAAACAACGTTAATTTGGCAAAAATAAAGACAAAATGATTGATTATGGCATGATATTTCTGTTAAATCTAGTCAAATTATGTTTACTGTCACAAGGCATAAAAAAAGATTCCACTACAGTTAAAAGAAAATGACTAAAAAGCTATGCAAAGGTCTGGTTTGCACACTGGGACCTTGCATTTCAGTAAATAGACCAAGCCGAGTGCCGTGTTGACATTATCAGGCTTCAACACCTCAGCACAGATAAACGCAGCATTAAGAATAGAACTGACAGGGTGTTCCTTACGTCAATGCCATATTATACTTCAAAATCAATGTTTGGTATTATTTAACAAGGAAAGAAATTCCATCCGAGAAATTAAAACTAATAATAGGATTTAAAACATGCTGTAAAATGACCTACGTAAAATGAGAAAAAATGTCTTAAAATAGGAGGATTACCCCTTAATTTGAATAGGCAAATAAGATGATCTGAAGATGGAATGAGTGTTTTTACTTAAATTACAATAATTTATTATTATGCACTTGACATAAGAGACTGCGGATGTTTTTTCTTATTTAACATGTAAATTGTCTTATTCCATCACCAAAGTGTCTCACTTACCTGCTCAATTCAGGAAAAAAAAAAAATGCACTTGCTTTAAGAAAAATTTACTTACTTAGATTTGAATTGTTTTGCAGTGCAAACTTTAGTACTTAATTGTCCCTGTTAAAAAATGGTTCATAGTGATGAAGTTCCAATAAATGGTGAAACTGTAGCAGATTTGGAGAGAAATATACATTTTATGTGGTGAAATAGCTAGAGGAGAGCAATTCCTGTCTTTCTAGGGCATTGTGTCTTCCAATAAAATAGGCAAAAAAAAAAATAAAAAATCCATCAGTGATTTAAATGTCTCTCAGCAGTAGTCAGGATTTGTGATAAATGCCGCAGCTAAATAAAAAATAAAAAATGTAAGTCAAAGATGTATTTTCATCTTCATCATATGCTGAGAGATTTACTGTATAGTGGGGACCCAAATTCCACAAATTTCAGTTTTAATTCCTGTCGTTATCCCGTAAAATTTTAATAGATATTAGAGAGTAAGACCCCTGATCAAACTGCAATAACTTTGATCTAACCTTCACCTGACATGGTTATAATGACCAACTATCAGGTTCATGTTCTGGACAGACAGCCAGCAAAAATAGCATCGAAAGTTGGATGATTTAAGACCACAAAAATTCTTAGGAAAATGTGAAAAAGAAATCAAGACATTTTATTTTATTTTTATAGAAATAATTATTAAAAATTATTTATAAAAAAAAGAAAAAAGAAAAAATACAAAAAAAAGAGAGAAAGAAATCAACATATTTTAAAAGATAAAAATAAAAAAGGAATCCAGGAAGGTTTAGCTAGTTTGGTCTCCCAGGTAGGCTATGCTTCATGCTGCATTGATCAAAGAGGCAGGTTGGAATAAAAACGGATCACTTCCTCTGGAAGCAGCACAAATCACCTCCCCACTCTCTAAAGTGTTTGCAGAGCTTAGTTAAGATGCATCCACCCAGCTCAAACACAGCCCCTCCTCTCTCCAGGAGTCACTTATTAACCCGAGCTACTGCCTGAGAAGGTGCATGAAGGAGATAATGACATGACCTCTACCACCAGAAGGGGAAAAAACAAGTCCTGGGAATTTTCATTACAGCCCTGTTTTTACCTCTCTAATGTATTTTAGAAGAATAGACCTTTTTAAGTAATTAGCAGGGAGGTTTGGCCTAAATGGCTCACAGGATATCTTTCTTTCTTTCTGTTTTTTCCATCTTTGTGTGTATGCCAGCCTGAAAGTTCACATGTCCAATGAACTAGTTGGAGCTAAAGATTTAGACATTTAATGGTACTTGGGAGTTAACTTGATGTACATGCTGACCAGTTCCAAAATCTTCAACATACTGACCGTGCTGCTCTTCCTGTGACTCTGAACTGTAAAATCTGGACAGAAGAGGAGATCAGCGATGGCGAGCAGCAGGGATTCAGCCAGTGGTCGAGCTTCATTCTCATTAACATCTTCATCCAAACCCTGCAATAGGAACACATCAACTATGGTTTTCATAAAAAGATTAACCAAAGTGCCGCTGGTGACCACAACAACAAGATTTTTTTTTCTCTAGTATGATTTGAAACTGAAAGATCAGTTTTTTTCCTCATCATTGAACGCATCATCAGCAAACCAAACATTCTTTGTGTGGATTGGGTTGCTTAGTTAGCACACTCAACATTGCGTCAGAAAATTTAAGGAAATCTGTTTCATCATCCTTTGAAGTCAAATTACTTAATTAAAAAAGTATGAGGTTTTTCAGCAGCTTTACACAGAAAGTATGCCTGCCATAATTCTTGATATCATATATATTAGGGATGCGTGATATAATCGGCCCCCTATCGGTATCGGCCTTAAAACTGAATATCGGACATCGGCCACCCCACCGATATTTAACCCGATATTTGATCAGCTTCTGAGTTTCTAAAGTCTAAAAAAAAATAAAATAAATACTACTTCTTCTTCTTCCTCAAAAACGTATTTTTTACAGACTTAAAAACTTCTAAAGACGAGGGAAAAAATATAGATTAAAATATCACAATATCTTCATATGCTGATATATTGCCATTTAAAAACACCATATCAATCTCTTTTACTAATTAAATATTGCTATATGTCATCGTTATGCTACGAAATCCCCCGAAAATTCACGAAATTTTGCCATATTTTTATATGTTGATATATTGACGTGGTATCGATCTATTTTACTAACAAAATCTCACAAGAATTTGCAAAATATCACGAGAGTTTGTAACAGAACGATGAAATTTCACCAGATTTTAAAAAGTAAAATAGATCGATACCGCGTTTTTAAAAATCAATTTGATATCAGCATATGAAAATATATTTGAGTTTAAGTGTCAGAAATGGATAACAAAACTGCTATTTTCAATGACTACTTATTTTTGTCCAGCTTTAACATCGGTATCGATATCGGTTATTGGCTACATGAGTTTTAAAATATCAGCATATCGGATATCGGCCAAAATCCCAATATCGTGCATCCCTAAGATATATATATATATATATAATATGGGGCTTAATGGGGCTTAGAAAAAATGCAATTTAAAAGGGAATATAAAAGAAAAAATACCATCAGACCTTTTCATCTTTTAATTCTCAGATATCTGAAGGAACCGCAAAATTAGAAAAAAAGGAGCCTTCAGGGAGGAAGATGGGGAATTATTGAGGAGTATACAGAAGCAACTTAAGGTAAAGATAAGAGAAAGCAAGGATGCATTTCGGAAAAAGCTAGAAAGCAAGCTCAGAGATGTGTGGTCAGAAATGAAAAACATCACAGGCTTGAAGCACAAGAAGGGAAGTCTGGACAGAGCCAATGAACTCAAAAGATTCAGCTTAACTTCAGGAAAAAGTACAGAATCCTACATCTCTGAAGCTCAAAAAGCCAATAAAAATGCTGCTTTGTTGCATGAACTCCTCTAGAATCTCTGCAGATGATTTCACAAGAACTATGCTACATAAACAGTATGATCAGCAGTGAACACCTTCTTCAGAAAACAGTCAAACAACAGACAGGCTTCAGTCTCAGACTTCTCTACATCTGGTGAAATACAGACTACTACAGAAGATGCTTCCCTGTCTACAGCTATCAACAACAACAACAAAAAAACCACTGATTTACTACAACATTTGATTTTCCTCCAGGATCAAGGAAGAATTTCTAAATATATTTTCATTAGCAGGCAGCTAATCCCTCCTTAACTGAACCCTTTGCCAGGAGACGCTGGGAGATACAATATGGGCAGTGTTTGCGGCATGGTCCCCAGTCGACCAGGTAACCAGAGACTCAGCGGCAGGTGGGGGTAGGGAGAGGAGTTAGAGCCCAGCTTTGGATGGAGACCTCTGTATCTACAGCAGGGATGGTTTTATTTTACATCTAAAGAGCTGCTTTAGAAATCAGAGAGTAACATTTTCTCCAGCTAGGGTTCATTATTTGGCTGAAGCAATCAAAGCAATTTAAACTGTGAGATGGAACGATAGCTGATAGATTTAATCACTCCTGACTTTAGACAGAAAAGATTTCTCTTGCAGAAAGTTCCAACATGGATCAAATACCAAACCAAAAATCAACTATTTGTAGCTAAATTGAAAACATCTCAATAAGAGCTGCATCTGAGGCGATTAAAGCAAAAACAATCCCAAACCTTTTCTAAAATCTACAGGAGCTTTGGTTTAAGTAACCAATCTTTATACTGTGCAAAGAAAGGTAAACTGTAAAAGTTTCTGTCCAGGATCCCAGATGGCAGGTCAGGCTCATACCCTGGATCTTTTTGCGCCAGGGATGGTGGACCAGAAGAAGCCCCTCCAGTCGGCGTCCTCGAAAATATACGGCAGGATCCGGGTGAGCAATCGGGTGCAATTCAGAACAATCTGCCTCTCCTTCTCCGAGGGGCAGCCTGAGTCAGCGCACTGAACCAGCCTCTCCACAGCCTGCAAACAAACCACATAATGAAGCAACAGAAGGAATTATTTCATTATATATAAAGTTTTCTGCCAGGAATGCTGAATACAGCCTTTATGCAAAGGTAAAAAGGACAAAAATACAATTTATAACTTAGTTATTATAGGTTCAGTCAATGGCGAAAAAAAAGAGAAAATTTCTTATGTCAGCATCGGCTTAATACTAAAATTTCAAAAGTCATATTTTTAAAATAATCTACAATGCAGATTAAAACAGATTAATTATTTCACAAATGACCAGAGGATGTGAATAGAATTTTAAAGGAGCAATAAGTCATAAGAATAATGACACTTAAAAAAAAATGTGTTTTTCAAATTGGAAAACCACACAAAACACACACACTGGAAAAAAAAATCTAAATATAGATAAGTATTTTTTTCTTAAAATAGGTGAATTTGTTTTTGGATCGAGGAGGTAAAAGACACCTTTTACCAATGAAACAAGACAATTTACATTTAAAATAAGAAAACACAATTGCATTGTCTTATTTCAAGTGCATATTATCTAATTATCTTATTTTAAGAGTAAAAATACTCCTTCCATTGGCAAACTACTCAAATTAAGGAAAAATAGAAATTTTTACTTATTTGTAGATTGTTTTTCTAGCGCAACTTTCAAGAGTGATGGATAGGTTGCAGAATCAAGAGAGATGAGATTTTAATGTATCTGAATTCAAGAAGAGCAGTAGCTAAACTGAGCATGTATGCTCAGTTTAGCTACTGTAAGTTGTTGCACACACATTTTTATGTTTTTTAGTCTTTTTTAAGAGGAGTGTAGTCCTAATTCCACCAGCGTCATACATGTGCATGGTGTAATGATGTACGTAAGGCTGTCCAGATTCAGCACAACGACTGGAGCTCTTTTCCTAACCTGGATTCAGTTCTTACTGTTGATCTTGTGAAAGGTAAAGGTTTAGGAGCGAAGGACAAATTGGAAGGAGCCTTTTTTTGGTCCACTTCTCTTGATGGCTTCCAGGGAATTGTGATATGATTGGCTCAGGAACCAGGAAGTAAAGACGGGATACACACTGGGCCAAATAGGCTCTGGACTGTACCTCTGGGTATGAAATAAAAAAAATTTCACAAGGACATTATTTATTATCTTCCTGGGTTTACTGTAACTTTGTAATCTAATGGCTCTTTAAATAATCTCAGATAAAAATATATATTTTTCTCATGTATAGATTCTTTTCTTACACCCTTTTTTGTCCTATGGGAGAAACCTTTTGGTGCTGGAAGTGTGGGAATGACAAACATCTGCATTCCTTTGTTGTCAACTGTATCCAGGATGGACAAAAGGCTGCAGCAATGCCAAACAGGATCCCTTGCTGGCTGGAATAATGAACATCCAAACCAACTCTATGCTTTAATCATTTACAAAAAAGGGAAACTATTTTCAGTCTGATGCTTAGAGAAGATTCTAATTGTCATAATAATTTCATAATGCAAACCTCATTCTTTAGCCTCAGTCAGGGATCAATGTTTCATTAGGAAGGTCAGATAAGATGATTTATGATTAACAAAGTTGGCTCCAGAATCTGCATTCTTTTATAAAGGGGGTCTCATACTGTATTCATAACAAACCAACTGAATAAATCGATATAAACCCTTTTTTAATTTTTTTTTATCATTCTGTCTAATAAGAGAGACCGAATACCTTAAAAGTAAAGCATCCTAAGTAAGAGGCACTGTTCCAAAATAAATACATTTCTCACATATCACTATTATTGTTACCCTCTGGTAAAGCCTTAAAATGAATCGTTAAATATGTTTTTCAGTAAAGCTTGTTAGCCTTTGCTGCAGTGCTCCAGGGGCAAGTTCTGGAGGTTTTATCTTTTACCTCCTGTATCATCAGATTCTTAAGAGCTGCTGTCCAGCAACTTTAAACTGCAGCTCTGATTCATCCTCCCTTAGTCAAATACTTAGGTGATTAACTCTAGAGAACTTAGAAGCATGGACACAGTGTTTTAGAGCTTGGACATATTAAAAAGGTGCTACACAGCCGCACCCGAAGGCTTTACTGTAGATTATCTGTTCTAGAGGCTAACTCTAGCTTATTTTAGCTATTCAAACCATAATAGTTGAATAATTTTAAGCAAATTGTCCTTTAGAGCTACTTGGAATAGAAGATGTCTTTTGCCTTGCAATACGGGGGTTTTAGGTTTAATCCTTATCTGGAGTGTGCTTGCATATGAATGCTCTTTAGCAGCAAAAACATTAATTTCATGTTGAGCAGTTATTCTAAATTTGTGAGATTTTTGTCTGACTTTCTGTCCTGTGTATCTCTGTGTCTCTAGGTAATGGACTGGCAGCCGGTCACCGGTGAACCTTTCCTCTGGCCCAGGTACAATTAAAGAATGAAATTGGTGTCACCACTCTTCAGCAGACTTTGCATTTTGTTTTTTGTTTTTATTGGAATGAAGTATTGTTTTTCTTTGCTTATTTGTATGTTTTTGTCAGTGCTGAAAAACTAAATAAGCAAGAAAAGAAACAAAACACAAATTTTTTTAGGAATTCAAAACTATGAATGAATTAAATGCTTGTATAATGGAAGGTATGTGCTCGATATTCCTAAATATCATCTCAACAAGAATGTCATACTGGTAAGGAAAGATTACCTTGTAGCAGAGGGTTGCCAAGTTGGACGGGGACTCCTCTCTGACAGCTCGGATTTCTGCAGAAGGCACCAGAGCAAAAACATCCTGGACAGCGATGGAGCAGTCAGCCCAGAACTGATCCCAGAATACGTCGTCTGTGGCTTCGACAGGCTGTGCAACAGGAAATAGAAATTCTTTGAGCGACCATGTTTTCAATTCTTCACCAAGATGAGCTCCTAAAGTCATATTTATTAAAAAAAACTGCATATAAACCAGATAAGGTTTCAGTTGTATTCAGAATATCTAAGTCTAATACCTAGGAAAGCATCATGCAACACTCTTATGACTTTTTTTCCAATGCATTAACAAAAAAATATTCTCTTTTGAATGCTACAAATCTTGTAAATATTAAAAAAATAAGAGTTTTTAATGTCAACACAGGGTGCATGTTCCATATAATAATGAATAAAAGGATGGTTTCAGTTTAAGCTGTCTAACTTCTACTGTACCATAAAGATATTAACTGGTTAAAGTGCAATTAGTGTAGAACACATTATCCAAACTAAACCAAAGCCTTCAGGCAGAAACATTTCACCCACCATCTGGAAGAACATAAGGTTACTGAGGAAGACATAAGCAGACAGTTGGTTTTAAACACATGCCATATGATTGTGTACATTTCACAAAACAATAATAAAAACAATGCTTGTGTTTTTATTTTATTTTTTCCCCATTATTTCTCCCTCATTTTTAAACAGAGCTGAAGATTTAAGCAGTTTATTTTACCCCACTTAGAATGATCAGCACCTGAAGCTACCATCTGGCACAACTTGAATCATGTCTTCATTTAAATAGATCGCCTATTAAAACACAGTTTTTAATTCCCGCTGTAAAAGTTTTATTGTAAGAAAAACACAAACTTGCCTGCGTTTTGGTCGTCAGCTGGATCACCGCTTTCCTAAAGTGAAGTTTGGTGTCTGCGTTTCCCATATTTTCCTGCCCCTGGAGCCGCTGTCGCCTCCTGCTTTCAGGATCCGCTGATCATTTCCCTCATCAGCGCTCAGTGCGCTCAGTTAGTGATGCGTTCAGGGACCGCTCGGAGGTCGCCAATTCGACAAACATGTTACTCGCTCTTACGGATCCTTTTAAAAATAGGAATCAGGCTTATTTAAGTTATTTAATGACGACAATGAAATTTAGTGAATAACTTGCATATAGAATTTTACTAAGAAAATTGTATTTATATATATATATATATATATATATATATATATATATATATATATATATATATAAACAAATAACAATAAGAATTAAAGTCAGTATTTTTTTATTTGCATCACAGACACTTAAATGAATAAACAAATAAAGCCTTATCTTATGTTGTTTACCCCCTTTACCTAAAGCAATAATTTACAAAGTACTTAAATGACAAAAGACATCTGCAACAACACAGTAAGAATAAATATATACATAAAGATAATAAAATTGAATGACTATCCTCCTAATTCACCGTTTCTGTATAGCTAACCTTAAAAAAAAAACATACAATTAAATACGATTTACTTTGTATTACAATCAGGGATAACACATATTAATTTATTCTTAGAGAAACATTTTAAAATAACTATGAAAAAAACAAAATTCTTAGTTTAGAAAACATGCATGTATAAAAGAAGAAAATACATTATTTAAAGGAGCACAAGTTGTGGATTTACAATTAAACACAATAACATTGCTTCTTATATGTTAAATATACTGATGTGATATGGCTTTGGTTTTAAACAGTAGGCTCCCCTAGTAACATTAAAACATAACATCAGTGGTTTGGTGATATGCTTAGTCAACATGAAGGTCATGAACTCCTAGTGCATTATAACATATTTCTGAAACAAATCAGAAAATTTCGGGCAACATAGTGGCATCTATAATTTTACATAAAATAAAAAATATATTTATATTTTGTGACCTTCACATAATTACCAAATGTTTACATTAAGACATCAGCCTTTGATTTTTCTGGATTTATTTTGTTGATTTATTATGAAGTAATTCCAAAACCCTGTGGGCTTGAAAGGTTAAATACAGGAGGGGGATCCTTGCTGCATCTCATCATCAATCTAGGGTCAGGAAATAAAAGATGTTAAAGACTCCCCGTTACATTTTCTTGCCAATATTTTTGTTGTAATAATTCTGAATGTCCCTGAAAGCAGCATGTGCTGAGCAGGATCTAAGTGAGCAGACTTCCGGGATATTTTATGTACTCATATACCACGTGACCCTCATGATAAACCTGGCTAAACTTAAGACTACAATTCACGTCATTATGGGCTACATCATCACCACCTGCCAGAGCATCACATCAGGAACATTACTGAGATAAATGTTTCCTTGTCTGGTCAGTTCAACTGTAGAGGATGAAAGTATAAAGTGGCCAGTAGATGGCGTCATAATGTCAGCTAGCGCTGCAGAAGTCAGTGGGGAAGAAAGGGAGAGGGAAAAATACTTAAGTCTAGCAGAGGATTTACACATTTATTTTACGGAAACTCTGACATTTGACCTCTTTAAGGTAAAATAAATAAAAAAAATAAATAAATAAAATAAAGCTTGATTTGGAGGTATACTTTATATATAATAGCTTGATACAAGATATAAATTAATAGAAGTTTTTTTAGTAGCTATATTTGAAAAAGATATAACATTTTGTTTTGTGTATTGGTTTATGGGTCTGACTAATATTAAAATGTATTCTTTATTACCTCACATATTCATTTTTGAACAGCTTTAACAACTGACCACTTTGCCGCTGCCTAATAATATCATGGTTAACAGTTTTAATGAACTTTTTTCATCATTCCCTTAGTCATTGTGATCAGTGTGTGAACACCTATCACATAGCTGGTACTATTTCTTAATGTTGTCATTATTATTATTACACAGAGTAGTATCAGTTATCAGACTGATCATCCATAAAAATAAACAAAAATGCTCATGATTGAAGTTTTTTTATACCAGCCTCCATTTTTATTAAACCCATAATATGTATAGAAGGCATTTAAACAGCTGCTGGATTGTTTCTGTCATGCAAGAACTATTGATATCATTCCTGAGAAAAAACGATCAGGCTCATTTGTAGTGAATGACTCATTCAGAAGCAATGCAATTTCTTCCCCAGACAATATTGCAAAATGTTCCACCTCCCTTTCCCCCTCAGAAAATCTAATAGGCCACCAAGCTCTCAAACAGGTGTCAGCCAATCAGAGCTCAGCCTCATCCAAACATAAAGCAGATTCCATATACACCACATTTTGCAGACACGCTAATGCAGACGCCATTTGGATTCCGTCTTATGCAGCAAGAAGCATGATGAACACAAGGAGTTCTAAAGTTTTCTTAAGTTTACTGGTAGCTCTGTTAATATCTGACCTGGTAAGGATCTTTTTTTTTTTTTTTTTTACCAGAAGTCAATCTTTAACCTTTTTTTTTTTATCATTGTTTGATTGGAAATATTTTCAGGGCCTGTGGAGACATGGCAGGAGGAGAGATATTTCTGTTTTCTCCTCCCCCTTCCACAGTTCAGGTAAGCAGAACTAAGATCAGGATTAGTAAGATTAAGATTTCTTGGTATTGTTTCCTGAGCTTTAAATGGGCCATTGCATTTTGCAGATGGAATCTGCCTCAATGGTGGAGTGTCTGTTTCTTCCATCATCACTGGTGAACACTTGTATTGTAATTGTCCTGATGATTTTACCGGGACACACTGTGAAAGAGGTAAGAAACAGATATCAAACCAAATTTAAAACATGCAATTTCACATTTTAATCTCCTCTGTCTGTGGTTATAGTGAAAAGCATCGGCTGTTATGAAGGTATGGGATTGAACTACAGAGGCACCGCTTCGAGATCAGTCAGCGGAAAAACATGTGAGAACTGGGATTCGCATACCAGAAGACGTTATTTGTCCTCAGACCTTCATGCTGGGAGACACAACTACTGCAGGTGGTTTCTGAAATCTTAACAAAAGCATTTCTAATAAAGGAGTTCTAACCCTTTATGTCCCAGTTAAAATTTCAGCTATTTGTGATGCAACCAGTTATACTTGTACATAAACCTTGACAATTATTCAATAGCAAAACATTTATGCATTTAGCAGATCCTTTATCCAAAGTGACTTAAAAAGTAGACACAATGTTACAGTTATCATCAATCAGAGAATAAGTTCTATAGGGGAAAATCCCTAATTGAAAATAGTGAGGACAGAAAAGAGATAGATGGAAGTACAGAAAGAGTAGTAGAGGGGTACAGAGTTATGGGTAAGAGTTAGAAGAGGAGATGCTCTTTGAAGAGGTGGGTCTTTAGGAGATTCCTGAAGCTGCTGTTCTTGCAGTGCTTGGTAGGTCATTCCATCATCTTTGAACAACACATGAAAACAGTCTGGATTGACTTAAGTGTTGTGTAGGCACACCTGCTCCCAATCTGCTAATTAGCCTGCTCTTTCTTTCTTCTTTCAGGTTGTGAGATAAGCCTTTGCTAGATTTTTCAATTAGATGGGAGGCGTACCCTTAAGCACTTTGTAGGCTAGCATTGGGACTTGAATTTGTTGCGGGGGTAACCAGGGAAGCTTAATGAACAGAGGAATGAAGTGAGACTTTTTGGGACTTTAGTGCATTACAATAATCCAGGCAGAGGATAACCAAGAGCTGGGTAGCATGTTGGGTAAGGTATGGCCAGATCTTTCTTATGTTTAATAGTAAGATCGAGAGATGGAGGTAACATCTGTAAAGGTCAGCTGATCGTCAATCATGACACCCAAGTTTGCTGCCCTTGATGGAGTCAGAGACAGGGATCCAGTCTGGATGTGAATAATGTGGTGTATGGTTGGTTTGGCTCAGAAAACCAGCAGTTCAGTTCTTGAGAGATTCAGTTGGAGGTGATGGACTTTCATCCATTTTGATGTGTTAGAGAGACTGAGAGGCACGCTGAGACCTTGTGGTCATCAGGTGGAATGACAGAGCTGGGTGTCGTCAACATAACAGTAGTATGAGAAACCATGTGATTGAATGATCTAGCCCAGCGTGGTGGTGTATATGGCAAAGGGAAGAGGTCCAAGTACTGAACCTTGAGGAACCCCTGTGGCGAGTTGTTGCTCTGCAGAAGTGTGACCAAGCCAGGATACTATGAAAGACTGATCAGTGAGGAATGATTCAAACCAGGAGTGTGCTCTTCCTGTGCTCAACAGTATAAATAGAAGGAGGTCATGGTTGACTGTGGTAAATGGTACTTAGGACTTCCCTGTTGCTCTTGCCTCTTTTAAGGCTTCTGTCACAGATAACAGAGCCGTTTCAGTGGAGTGGCCTTTTTTAAACCCAGATTGTTTTGTATCAAGTAGATTATTTTGTGAGTGGTATTCTGTGACCTGCCTAAAGACTGATCTGTTAATGCCCTTAGACAGAAAGGTTAGTAGAGAGACCGGCCAATAGTTTTCCACCTGGGTCAGTGGGAGAGAGGGTTTCCTGAGCAGCGTTGTAACCAGAGCTTGCATGTATGAGTTAGGAAATGTGCCTGATGTCAGTGAGGCATTGATGACATGTGTGACTGCTGCAGTTACCATCGGAGCTATGGATTGGAGAAAATTTGTAGGAATAGGTTCCAGCAGTTTTAGACACATACTTTAGCTCTAATTGAGAGGAGTAAATGAATAGAATGGAGCAGTAGGACCTCTGCTAGAATTTGTAATCTGAGAGGTTTCAGGTGTGGGCAGTTCAGGAAAACTGTTTATTAATACCTGCCACTTTTTCAGTTAAAAATGAGGCAATGGTGTCTGCCATTAAACTGTTAGCAGATGATGGAGGAGGATATTTTTTTTCAAAAGCAATGTGATGACATTTAAGTCCATTTCTGGTATTTTGATCTAAGCTCCAGTCTGATGTTACAGCATTTGACACTGATTGACTTTCTGAATATGACCTATATGAGCTGAACACCAAAGAGCTGCAGCCCAGTGGCTATGTGAGTGACTATGAACATCACAGGCAGGGAGCCTGTACTCAG